AATGTGCAGGAAATATTGGTCAACTACAAAATTAACAGTATTTTGATGAAAATTTACTTCTTTATTTTAATGTTTCAGCGGGAAATGCGTCTGCTTGGTACTGTGGCAGTGGGAAATTATTCCACCGAAGCTTCAGCACTGATGGTGCAAAAAGTTTATCGAATTGGCAATAATTTGGAGGAGCGAAGGCGTCTTCTCGGAATTACTGAATAATAGTTGTAAAAAAAGATGTTTTGGTACTTCTTTTGTAATCACAGAATGCTTGGAAAGTATGAGAGGCAGAAACGCTGAGCGTGGAAATACATTAGGCAATAATGTGATCAGTTGTAAATGTGTAATTAAAAACTTTAGAATCACCAGCAGTTTGATTTTCCAGTTCAGGCGACTGAAAATTTTTTCATTTCAAATTTTCCGATGCTCCATGTACTGGCGACTCTGACGCTCGCTTCATCTTCTGCAGGGATTTTCGAGATCAAGCCAGAAACTGTGTTCTCAAATTCAGAATTGAAAGTCGAAGCTTCAGAAACTCTTATGTTCTAAATGATGAAGCGCTTTATATCACTTATACTTTCAAAGCGTGTTTTTGGTGCAAAAGAGAGCTTTTGTGGTATTTAATTCAGTAAGCCTACTGCTGTTGCCCCAGATGGAACTGTCCAAGGTTCGTGAAGTGTGTGATATCTGTAGATTTCAAAAAAAAGGAAACATTTTGAGAAGATTTGGGAAACACTTCTGCGAAAAATGCTCATCCCATACGAGTTTCTTGCAGTAGGTACGAGATTTATGCATTGTTTAGCTCAGTGGTTTGACTTCGCTTTTTTGCCTCAATTTAAATAGTTTGGCTGTCGACTCAGCCGCTAACGTATTTGGTATTTTGAATGGTACTGCCGTGACAAACCATTGACGAGTATATTGTTCTAGGAAGTGTATTGTTCTAGGATTTGTATTGTTCTAGGAATTGTATTGTTCTAGGAAGCATGAAAGTACCGGCAAGCTGACCCCGGTGCTGTGGGCCGCTGTCAAAACAGATGGGGAAATTGCTAATGAATAGCTAAAAGACCAAACTATGTCCGTTAATCTGGATTTTCCGAACATTTTCATTTGTGGTGACGGAGCTGCACTGTACAAACGTTGAATAGGATACGATATGTTTGCACTGCTTTCCAGAAACAAGTGAAGAAGGAAAGATCACCAGCACTGGGCCTACCTACATCAAACGGTGTAGTTTTCGTTACGATAGCATTGGGGAAAAGTTGGCTAACTGTTTAGGTGGTAAGAAGGCACGCTACGAAGAAGGGATGACAATTTCTAAAATACGATTCGGCTCAGGCGCGCAATAAGCACTAGCTTAGATGCGAGCTGTGGAACGCATAGTTATGTACAAATATTGTGTTTTTGGTCAAGTTGAGACTTTTTTGCTAAATATCATAAACCCTTTTAAACACTCCCCCCCCTTCCTCACC